TAACCAGGAGACTAGGTCACATAGGCCCCGTTAGGCTCCCTGGTTGGGGATCTCGGGATGATGGTCACCGACGGTTAGAAACACTGAGTGATATGGCTGGGNTTATTTTCCTAACACTCTATATGTATTCCCCATCTCACTCTATATGTATTTCCCGTCTTCCGCTTGAATTTGCTTCGACATTCCAATCTTCATTTCGCTATTTTATCCAAATGGGCAACCAAACGACAGCAACCAAAACCGGCGCACGAAAGTGCATGGTTAATGGTTGTAAAATTGACTGACTGACTGCTCCAAAGTGCTCGGTCAAAGGGCATCGTGGTAGTCGCTGGAGACTTCACTTCTCAAATGGACGAATCAAAAAGGTTTCTTGATGGCCTCCATTAACCGAACTGGCGACGGGGAACGCCTACTCCAACTTCGGACTGTTCCTGTCAAGCACAAACTTCTCCCACAAGAAATGACGTCGCCTTACTTGGAAACCGCCGACTTCTTCACAGCGCTGGACTCAAATGGACAACATTGCCACCAGCTACTACTGGTGCGGATCCATTCAATACTGCCGCTCTTACTGGTCAACGCCCGTGGACACGGAACATGCTCCGCTACGAGCCAGATTCTCCCTAAGTCTGGTAAAAACCCGTAGAAACACTACCGAAAACGGATGCCTACAACATACTATCAGCGATAATTGCAAATCGGCACTCGAAGCGGAATTCTCTAGTCGCTTTTCAGCTCAATCATCAACCGAGGGGATCAGTAAACGCTTTAAAGTAATCAAGGAAGCGATCCAAATGTTAATCGGCGGATTCTGGCGCACGATCAAAGTAAAAACGATGGATCTCGTCCACCTCGGCTGCCCTCCTGGATGGTCGCGAACTTATTCCTTCTGATGCCAAATACAAAGCGCGTAAAGTTTTAGGTAACTGCGGTCCTCCAATGGAGAAAGTAGTCGATCACCATAGTCTACACTGGTTGGGGTATATAGTACGCACGTCACCAAATAGGTTGCCACGGCGAACGAAGTCTGGCGAGGCAGGTAGTGG